TCGAACCGGGCGAGTCCGGTTCGACTCGGCGATTTTTTAAACGCTGGTTTGAAGTGATATTTTAAAACTCAGCTATTTCCGGTCTGGACAGGAGTTGGTTAGGACCAAATTAGTTCAAGAAAGGTATAGTCCCAGCCTGATTTTTTTTTAAGCTTATGTAATATATATTTTTATCTACTCTAGATCTCCATCCAATAAATCCCTCTTTTAATTTCCATTTTATTTGATTTATGTTTTAATATTTTTGGATCATGAACCGATTCAGAATTGATCCAAATCAACAATCACTTTCAGCTCAATAATCCAGTGATCTGACACGAATATGTGGATGAACGATCAATCAAGCGATCCGGCTTTTGAAATATTTGAAAGGATAAATCATATGCTCTCTCTATATATATTGTTGTATACCAGGTGTTGGGGAATATTGCTGCACAATATCGTCATCAAATACCAAATTCTTAGGGGCATCTTTTTAAATCTTTAAACCTTTTTTTGGGTATTGTTTGATAAAGCTCAGCAGCCATACACAACAGTTATAGATGGGGAGGCAAGGCTCGGTCTGGAGAGAAGAGCTGTTACCTGAGAGTAGCTTTCATGCTCCAAGAACCATGTTTGCTCTTGGGCCTTATGAAACAAGAAGTAAAGTCGTATTTCAAAATTATGTCAATAAATGTAGTTTTAAGGGATGGTCTATAAATTTATCTTCTTCCATGATTATGAAATTCAAAGTTTCATAAACGATGTAGATGCAAGGTCATGAACCACTTTGATGGTCTTTAAATTTATCTTCTTCCATGATTATGAAATTCAAAGGTTCATAAACGATGTAAATGCAGTTCAAAATGAACGGAAGTTAAATAGTGAGTCACAAAATATAATATTTTTAGATTGTGAAATCTTTTTTTTTTTTTTTTAAAGCAAGATTCATACTTGTTGAGGTCAAAAAGATCAATTGATTATTGTCTAATGCTAGATCACCAAACTTCGGTATGCCGAAACAGGTCCTTAGTTTCCCCAAAATGGAACCATCAAAATGAAGACGCTAACTACTGGGAAACTTCCCTTATGTTCTTAGGAATATTGTGTTAGTGTGTTTACCTACAGGTGAAAAATGGCACCACTCCACAAATTTCTACACCAGTCTCTCACATCTCTATAACCACTCTCCCAAGGAAAAACAGCTGTTAAGGAGATCCAAACATGACTTAAAACCTAACTCACGACGAAATCCAGCTAGTTCGATTTGAATGGACAGTGACTGGGAAGCTTTCTTGGAGCTCCAACACAAATCTCATATCGAGAAACCAATACGCACTACATCTTCAAAAAAAAGAAAAAAAAAAGTCTTCAGATTGCCTTTATATATTGCCACCCCAAAATAAATCTAAGGGATTTACAGTCTTTTTGGAGCTCCAAAATCATGTCCTATTTGGAAGATGTTTGGAACTTCTCGAGTCTCTCAGCCACCTTAACAGTAGTACAGGTGGGGAATGTTTTTGGGGACACAAAAATTCACCCCATGCAGTACATTTCTAGGGATAAATAGAAAGTTACAGATAACATCTTCATCATTAAAGTTTTTTCCTAACTAATAAAGCTATTAGACAGTGCATGTAAAACAAGGTGCAATACCTGCAAGAAAAAGGACCAACATGCAATGGTTAAAAACTCGAATCAAGAACCAAATGATTTAGAATCAGATATTTTTCGTGGATTGATCATTACCAAGGATCAATAAAGCTCAAAGCCTCAAACTAACATTTGAGAGCTAGAGTCACCCAGCCAGAAAATACATTTCACATTCTAATTTTCTTGGGTTATAAAATCAGTCATTTTCATAGCTTTATACTGTGATGGCTAGTATATTCTCTAAACATGTACATGAGAGGACGTGGCCCCAATCAACAATATTGCTAAAAACTTCTCGAGAACATATAAGTTGGTTTGGCCAAAAATTTGGGCTTGTTCGAAACCACATTGAATCCGACCATGGTTACGCATCTGATCTGAAGGCACGGGTGAATTTGGGCTTGTTCAAACCATGCACAATAACTCCGTGGTTATGCATCTGATCTGAGGGCAAGGGTTGCAATCTTTTATGGACAAGGATTTTTTTTTTGTGAGGTTATGGATAGGAACTCTTCAAAAAGAAAGGAAATTACAAGAAGGCCAAGAATAAAGTACTTCTGAAGTTTGAAACAAAATTTCTACCAGTTATTGTCCACAATAAAATTGTTATCATTGTTTTCTGCAGTGGAGTTTATACTCTTGCAGTAATATTCAGGTAATTTGTTCCTTCTGCAACAACCTGGTCGAAGTGTCAAACAAGCCACATAATGAATTAGGTGGTAGCAAAAGCATAGCACGTAACCACATAAATTGCTTTGACCACTCTGCTCAATTAGTTCTGAAAAAGAACAACACACCATGTTTCTTTTTTAATTTGGGGATTTATCAAATTACCACTGAGAGAAACAATTTAACACCTTACCCGTATCTTTTAATTTAATTTCAAAATACCAATAGAAAAAACTCGTGATCTTGAGTTGGAATAGTTGCAATGGGTAAAATGTTGAATAATTCATTTGTCAATGGTATTTTGATAAGGGAAAGCTTATCATGTTCTCCCTCCAACATAGAAGTTCTATCCTTCTCCTACCATCAGCCGTCCATTTTTATCAAGAGAGCCACTCACCGTTTGATCTTAGATCCGACGTCTCAAAGTATTTTATTTTTAATTTTTTTAATACAAATTTTTTTAATATGAAATTTGGTATGTGCCATCTTCTCATTAAGACGCACCTATAAAAAATATTAACAATAGATTTTCAATAAAAAATAATGACCAAAATGCCCCTTGAAACTTTCAAGGGTATTTTAGTCATTTTATTTTATTGAAATATTTTTTTAATATTTTTCGTTAGTGGAAGTTTAATAGAGGAATGGATGTCCAAAATTTGGTGTCAAAATAGTTTATAGAAAAAAAATTAAAAATAAAATAATGTAGAGACATGACATTGTGATTGGGGCAATCTTAACCCTCCATTAAAAAATGGAAGAGGATAGAAAGAGAACATAGAAAGCTTTCCCTTTTGATAAATTTCTTTTTTTTCTTTTGGAATGTGAGTATCTAGTAATACAATAACACAGTCTAATAGGCAGGGAGCCACAAATCCATAGAATTGCAGTAATCCCTTCTAATAATCCAGCACGACCAGAAAGCATTGAATATAATACATTCACGGACAGCTGTAAATGCATCCATAAGCGCTTGGGATAAAAAATTTTATTGCATGGAGAATCATGGGAATCATGGGTGTTAGCACAAAGAAAAAGATATAAATGCAATGTATAGACAGACCATTAAAACCGATCAGCCAACAATAAGCATGAGTACCAAAAGGTTTTCTTATCAGACAAACAAACAAATAAAAAAAAAGAGCGAAAAAAAAAGAAAGCCAACACCTTACTGAATACTCACCTGCAAAATTCCTGAATGAACGACAAATGCATTAGCTGTTGTATCTCTATGTTTTTTAGTAGTGCTGCTCACATGATACAAAATTTACCGTATGTATCTCCGATCTTCAACTAGACTTCCAAGAAAATGTTGCAGAATCAAGACTGAGGCAAATACACAACAAAATAAGCAAACACAAAATGAAGTCCATGTTATACCCATATCAATGAATCAGAACTCAAGTCAGGCTGTTCCCTATCTGAAGAAAACACTAAGGTCGCAAATCTCCTAAGATAACCAAAACACAAGATCCTGTGTGATTCCTTCACTAATAAAATTCAATGATATGTAAACAATAAGATCCAACAGCCTTTCTCAGTAAGACAACAAAAACGATCAACCTCCCTATTGAGAAGAAACAGTATTCCCCAAACCCATCTTTTGCCCCAAAACTGTAAGCTGCTCAACAAACTCGTCCCCAGTAAGAACCTCTGTTGTTCCATAGATAAGATGCTTAGTCGGCTGCTGCCTTTGGACCAATTCTTGCAAGCTACTATACTCCACATAGTTCCCACCACCAATCATGAAAACTATCGCTTCCTTAAAAGGCCCTTTCAAATGGTTTCCTGCTCCCCCAGCACTAGACTTAGGAGCACGAGGATCAAAAAGAAGGTAAGAATCAATATCCGGATTTGGTTTACCCTCCATTAAAGCCTCTACAGTTCTTGTCAAAACCAATTGCCTACCCTCTGAAAGAAGGTTTTTCATGCCGGCTGTCACTGCACTAATAGATTGGCCATAAAGCTTCTCAGCCCAATCTACAATATTGCTCTTGCTGGCCGAGTTTGGCAATGCCAAGGAAATATTCAAAGACTTTATCTTCTTCACATATTGAAAAGCACAAGGATCAACTTCTGACTCCCTCAGTGCTGCCTCTACCACTTCGACTTCAGATTGAGGAGTAGTCTCTGAAGCAAGCAGATAAGTAATGGCTAGCCTCAATTTATCCATCTTGGTACCTTTACCTTTCAAAGCAGTTAGCAAGGCATTCCTATCGATGCTCCCCTTCGTCAACATATCATTCTCCAAATTATAGTACGAATCCAAGGCTCGTACCTTAATTTCCCCTAACAAAACAGTGGCTATGTTGGTGTGCTTGTCGATAATCTTCTTCCTTTCAGTCAGTTCAGGAAGGGAATTCACAGCATTCATGAGATGCTTTGTATTCCCTATCAACTCCTGCCCATCAAAATCAACCCCATCTTTGGCTCCAGTCCTCTTATTCACCTCATCAACATCCTGCTTATATTTGCTCAATTGGGTTTCAATTTCTTCTGCAACTTTTGGAAATGGGGCCGAGCTATTAGCAACCCAAAAACTATCAGAATCATCAAGCTCATACGATTTCAACCCACTCTTGCCTTTAGCACCTGATGGATCCCCTTGAACGCTTACCCTATTCAACTTCATACCTAGAACATCATGTACCAATGGCTTATAGCTCCAATCATGCTGAACTCCAACTGAAAGATCGAAATTTCGATCAAAGATACATAATATTGGCCTTTGAAATGAAGCCCCTAAACTCCCACTCTCTGAGAATAAATTATTCTTCGAGATAAGATGGTCCCTCAAGCGCGAGTCCAAGGCGGAAGCCACCATCTCTGCAGGCCCACCACGAGGGCACCGAATTACAGGAACAACCCCCAATGTCACCAAAACACAAAACAAGCCAGATACAATTCCATCGATGATTACCTGTATGTCCCTGTCCCCAGCCTTTGGGTCATTTAATTGAACGTAGGTGCTTCTTTGTGCTAGTGAGAACATGTCATTTTCTAGGGTTACAAACTCCAAATATTGGTCATAGACCTTTGCAACCCGTTGAATTGAATCAGAATTTAGGGTTTCAGTGGCCAAATTCTCGAGAAGGGGGCGAGGCAAAGAGGAAGAGAAGTTGAGGTGAAAGGTTTCATAGATTGCTCGAGAGGCATCACTGACTATTCGATTGATATTTTGAACAGTGGGTTGCACAAAATAGATTGCTGGTACATCAGGAATGGTTTGGCGTTCTTTGTCAATAGTGAAATACAATGTTATGCCGTGCTTTCGGAGGTCTTTTACATGGATTAATGGAGATAGAATGTCTCTGCAAAATTTGTCTAAAACGAGGACTTTGTACACCTCTTCGTTGGCTGTGTCACCCGTGGTCAAGGGCTGGTTCAGGTTGAGCATACGAGCCACACAGTCTGTAAAAAAATTAAATATGAGAAAACTAGGAATAGTAAATGTGGTTAAAATGGGAAGTGAATTAGGAGAATGTGAAGTGTTCGCATTGGGAAATGATGATTCGTTTCATGAATGAAATGATCACAAATGATGAATGAAATGACCTTAAAAGTATAGAAAAATGAAAAATGAGAACTAGTGAAGATCTTACTGCATATAAAAAAGGAAAATTGGATAAAATGAGGATTTTTAAATAACTTAGAAGCAGAAATTAAGCTAATAGAAATACCAAAAAAAAAGAGAAATGGGGAGCGCTTGAATCGACAGAATATCATTTGCGGTTAGGATGAAGAGATCAAAAAAGGAAGAGAGAAAGAGATGGCCAGTTTCCAAATAATTAGCGCAAAAAAATCCAATCCAGGAAAAGAAACTATAACAAAACATGGAACTAAATGCTGAATGAATGAAGGGAAGAAAAAGAAGAAAAACAAGAAAAAGATAATACAGCAATTTCACATGGGGAGAGATGAATCGGTGTACCAATGTAAACAGAAAAATGCAAAAAAAAAAAAAGAAAAAGAAAAGGAAAAAGAGAGAGAGAGGAGAAACAGGGAGTTTGGATTGAAGTAAATGAATTGGGTTTATGAATAAAATGATCACAAGAAGAATAGGCAGAAAAAAATATTAGTAATTCACAACTAAGATGCAAAAATAGGGTTATCCAATAACGGGAGGAGAAAAGGGGACTTGGGAATTTTACGAAAATTGAGATAAGTTGGATTAGAAAAAAAATAAAAGAGATCAGAAAGAAATAAACTTGAGCGATTTGCAGAGAACGAGAGGAATTCTCAATGGAAATTTAAGAAAAAGAAAGAAAGCAAATACGAAGAAATTGGAGAAGGAGACTTACTTGTTTGCTTCTGTCGAAGACTCAGAGCCATTGTTGTGCACTAGGGTTTCGAGATTTGATCTCTGTTTCTTCTTCCTCTCTCTCGATCCCTGTTTCTTCTTCCTCTCTCTCGATCCCTGTTTCTTTTTCCCCTCTCTCTTTTGGCAACTGAATTGTGATCCTTGTTTCTTCTTCCTCTCTCTCGATCCCCGTTTCTTTTTCCCCTTTCTCTCTTGGCAACTGAGATGCCGCTCTCTCGATCCCTGTTTCTTTCTCCCTCTCTGTTTCTTCTTCCTCTCTCTCTTTTGGCAACTTAGACGTGGAATAAAGAGCGAGCGGTAAAATTACAGAAATACCCTTGTTAATGTCGCATCCTTCTTAATGTCGCAATAAAAGTAAGAAAATAGTTTGATAGGGCTCCGGATTTTTGGAATGCAAGCATTTAAAAATCTTTAAATCTTTAATCTTGATGGTAAAAAAAAGAAAAAAAAAATACTAATACCCAAAATGAGCTTTTTTAGGTTTTTTTACTTCATCTTAACATTTTTATAGTCTTCTTTTTAAAAAAGATCGATTTTTTTTATTAAAACCCTTAACCCAAAAAAAAAAAAAAAAAGTTAAAGACAATTTTAGCCTGTTTTGACCTTTACCCGTTACGTCTGCCCGTTAACCCATTTACTCTGTATTTTTCACGAAACTCGGGTTTTTACCTGGTCCTCTATCTTCTTCATAGTGACGCTTTTTTCTAAGGACTCATAGCCTCTTCTTCTTGTTCACAGTTTTCTTCTTTACCACAACGGCTTTTTCCTCACGGTGGGTTTTTATTTATTGGCTTCTTTTTCACTTTTTTTTCCCACCGGGTTTCTCTCTCCATTAGCTTTCCGACCGTTTTTCTCTATTGGCTGATTTCCCTTTCCATTAGCTTTCTCACGGTTTTTTTCTCTTTTCATTGGCTTCTTCACACTAAAATCTTTCCATTGGCTTCCTCACACTAAAATCTCTCTGTAGACAAAATAAATAAGAGTTTAACTATCCAACAATTGTCAAAAAGCATGTTTATGTTCTTCTCTCTCTTTTTTCTCCTATTTGGAATTCTTATATCTTCTTGTCATCTCCTTTAATTTTTTTTCTCCTATTTTGAATTCTCCCATTTTGAATTCTTATATCTCCTTTTCATCGCCCTTTTTATGCAAGGCTAAAAGGCCAAAGAGAATGAAAACAGTATCTTTATTACAAAGATATACTTTTCACTCTCTCCATCCCTGTCATTTGGAAATTTAATCTCTCCTCTTCATCTTTTCTCATTTTTTTCGTCTCCCTGTAATTTTATTAAAAACAAAATTTATCATTGCCTAACAAAAAAGATTACTAAAAGCTCAATAAAAAACAATGCAAAATCAATGATATCAATATAATTTTATTTTATTATTTTTATTTTGTAAAATCTTTAATTTAAATTTTCTGTAAATTTTAATTTATTCTATAAATCTTTATTATTTATGTTTTATCTTATAAACCTTGAGCCAAGAATCTATTAAAGGCGTCTATAATGCACATATTTATGCCTCAATCTTTTATAATGGAGCGGTGGGCCATCTATAGTGATTATAATGGGGTTGTGGGTCATCTATAGTGAAAATTAAGCATAGACTATGAAAAACATCAAATTCTGACTCAGATTTGATGCATAACTGAACATAATAAGTTTATAAATGGCTCAACATAATAATGTTGAATGAAGGTTGAAACGAAACTGATAGGTTCACCACTCTTGGTTGAAACCCCAAAAAGATTACTGAATATAAGAAGAAATGGCGCGTGATGTTTGTTGAAGCATATCATATATCATCGACTTTAGTTTGTCATTTTAAGCTTGCTCCCTATTTTGTTTCTTTAGGATATTTGTTTTGTTTGATTCTTCATTTTAAGCTTGCTCACTATTTTGTTTTCTTTATAATATCCTTTTTATTGTTTTGTTTCACACTTTTTTTTATTGAAATTTCTTTTAAATTTATTTTTTTATCAACACCATAATTTTATTTAAGATATTGCTATATTTATTTTTATTTTTTTCCATAGAAATTATCATCGTTACTAATTTTTATAGTTTTTTTTAAAAAAATAATTACCTTTATTCAATAAGGTGACACTCAAAAAATTTAAAATTTTATAGTTTTTTTTTGAAAAAAATAATTACCTTTATTCAATAAGGTGCCACTCAAAAAATTTAAAATTTTATAGTTTTTTTTTTAAATAATTACCTTTATTCAATAAGTTGCCACTCAAAAATTTTAAAATTCTAAATTATCCCTATTCACGTTGGGAACCATTAGGGGAATTTGGTAATTACATTTTGCCAAATTTAAATTATCAAAATATCTTAAGGTTTATTTTTTGCTTTTCTTTATTTTTTATTGTGGTCCACAAGTTCATTGTTGGTTGGACGTTAGGTAGAGAGATGCTCCAAATGCATTTATAACAAAAAAAAAAAAAAGGCTTGTCACAATATTATCACAACTAAAGCATATTATTCCGAAGTCTATCATGTGATTCCAAGTCATAGTATGTTGAAGGCATGTGATTTCAAGTCAAGAGTAGAGACAGGTAAAAGATGTATATTTAGGGATAGGTATATATATTATAGAAAAATTATGAAATGCAATAAAGTTTAGAAAATGTGCATATATTATGAAACAACCAATGCCTAAATATTCCATATATCAAATAAAAATATAATAATTTCTTTAAAAATAAAAATATCATCAATCTACATTAGAACAAAAAGGTCACAAACAAAAAATTACATATTCATCTGTCATAATTATCCCTAAAATAAAATAATTAACTATATCAAAAAATTGCAATAATGAATGAAATCAAAGGATTTTGTACACATCACAATAAAAATAACAAATGTGAATAAACCAAAATAAAAATGGTTACAATATTCAATAAATATTTAAGAAAAATCTATAGAAACTCTTTCTAGGACCATCATAGAAGATATTAGCCCTATAAGGCATGTTAGTCCCCATTTGATCCACATTATAAATGAAAAGGAAAAATGCTTGAACATATTAACAAATGGGATTGTATACAACGAGATCATTTACCTTTGGAATAGGCAGGTCACAATTACTTACAACCATCTAATGTGAAATCTGATAGCTTGGGTATGTCACAAAGTTCGAAAAAGTTTATTTCGAACTTTGTGCTTGGTCGATGAATAGCCCCATATATTGCAAAAGTAATGAAACCATGAACAATGGAACCAAATGACTATCGAATAATTTACAACAATATGTATAGACCTAAAAGTTTACCTCATCATCAAGGACTTCAATTTCAACCTAAAAGTGGAAGAAACATATAGTATATCAAACATCGAACTATCTAAAAAAAAGAGTTAATCCAAATATAAAAAAAAGAATTCATTAGAAATTTTTAAAATGATAGAAAAGAAAACTAAAGATGAAAGCCTACGGGAAAGTTTCATCTGGCACTAGAAAAACTTTGTAATAGATGATCCTGACCTCTACAATCATGGATCTAAAAAAACGGATTATTGAGCCCTAAACGAATTATATCTTGCAAAATATAATTTTGATCATTCATTTTCAAGTGTTCTTAGAACTGCTAATTATGGGTTTCTGGCAATGTTACCAGGATCGAAAAATAATCGAGACGGTGAGGGGTTTGTTTCGGTAAAAGCCAGGTTGGCTACTGATTGAATCGATTGGATCAGATTTTAGATAAAAGAAAAAAAAATAGATAGACAGGTTTAAAAATATAAGATGTACTTAAAAAAAGTGCCCAACTTCACTTAATTAGTCAAACTACTTAAAATTGGCCGGCCTGACCATCCAAAATTGACCAAACATTGATTTTGAGTAGTTTTTGACCAAGTCTAAACCAGACCAGCTAATGAGCCAAAATATTAAGCCTTGATAGATAAGAAGCTGGTTTGATGTTTCAGGCATTGAATTGTTGCCTGCTCTACACGATGACATACAATTACATGTTGTGGCTTTACAAAAGGTAGTTTGATGTTTAAAGTATCGAACCGATGTTTAAAGTATCGGATTGGTAACAGTTATGTGTCATGGCTTTACAGAAGGCCATAACATCAGACTGACTTATGCACACAAGGTTATGCACCGTGGCTTTACAGAAGACAGTCTGACCAACTTCTCTACAAGAATAGCGCTAGCAAAGAGCAGTTCAATGTCTAAAACATCATATCGATGAAAATTACATGTCTTGGCTTTACAGAAGGTAGTCTAATTTGCTAAAAATGGGGTTGACTTCTCTACAAGAAACAACGTTAACAAAGAGCAATCTGATGTTTAAAACATCGGATGATGCTTTGTAGTTGCATAGATAGCGGTACTGACTAAACATTGAACTAGGTTCAGTACAGGAATTAGTGTTAACAGAGAAAGCTCTCCAATGTTTGAAATAGCAGACTGGCCATTCGGTATTATTTGAAGGCGCTCCTTACTCTGATTGCTTAGGGCCTCGGACCCATATTAAAAGTCTTTGTGGTGGCCTGAAAATCTATTTATATGGCTAATTATAACATTTAAATCTTCAAAAATAGTATAAAAATTGAACATGCCTATAAACAAACAATATTGAAGATTGATAGCCCAATTGGCGGTGATTGGATACTCAAAGAGCCTATCAAACTTGTTCACATCAGATATGAGGAGCCAATGGCTTTGCCACTTTCTCGACGGTGGCTTCGGCTTACCCTCAATAAAGGGGTATGGAGGATGATCTGAAGAAGTGCGAAGCATACATGAAATCATATGCCGGAAAATATTTTTGCCGGTCGCGTATCGGAGTCCTCCGTATATGGTATAATGACCAGCTATGTAAGGACATGGGCTACAATCCTAAAAGAAAGAAGGGATGGTATGATGAACTCTTTAGCCCTTATGGCGCCATGGACTATTGCAAGCTCTAAAGTAGCGTGTGCAAGCATGCATGCATGCATTTTGTGTGTGGTTTTATGTGTTTGAGTTTTCTATGGATCATCAGAGTGTATTACAAAAGCTGTAGGAGTATGCCATGGAAGGGTTATGAATAAGTGCTGATTAGAATCATTATGTTACCAAAGATTGAGTACATAGTAATTTACCTGTTAATTTATTGAGTACATAAAGCTATTCCTTTTGATGAAGGATTATGTGGTCATATGGTGTTTTGGTAAAAGGTGAGACCCTTTCAACAAGGAATGAATCAAGTATGTTTTCTTTCCCAAGGTGTGTTTTTTTTTTTTTA